CCCTACCTAGAAGTTGGAGCCCCCCAGGAAAGCAGCATTAGTGGCTATGCTATGCTGTGCTGTGCTGTGCTGTGCTGTGCTATGCTATGCTGCGCTATGCTATGCTGCGCGATGCTATGCTATACTATGCTATGCTACGGTGTGCTGCGCTATGCTATGCTATGCTATGGTATGCTGCGCTATGCTATGCTATGCTATGCTATGCTATGCTATGTCATGCTGCGCTGTGCTATGCTATGATATGCTATGCTAAGCTATGATAGGGCATGCTGCGCGGTGCTATGCTATGCTATGATGTGCTATGCTATGCTATGCAGCGCTACGCTATGTTATGCTATGCGTGGCTATGGAATGCTATGCTATGCTATGCTAATGCAGCGCTGCGCTATGCTAAGCTAAGCTAAGCTAAGCTAAGTTAAGCTAACCCTCTAGGCAGAGCCTAGGAAGGGAATTACACCCATGCTAATGCTATACTGCGCTATGCTATGATACGCTATGCTATGCTGTGTTGTGCTCTGCTATGCCAAAGCTCGACAAAGCTAAGATGAAGGTCAGCTAAGCTAAGACAAAACTGAGCTAAGATGAAGCTAAGCTAAGCTAATATTAAATAAGCTAAGCTATGATGAGATACGCAACGCGAAGCGAAGGGAACGTCACTGGGGGAACCGCGGGGCGGATGCCGGGGGAACCGCCTGGGGCGAGCCCCACTGCCCGGCCCCTTTAAGCTAATAAAGTAAGAACCCTTCTAGGCAGAGCCTAGGTAGGGAACAGTTGGCGTAAAATTAACGTAACATTACGCCGTGCAATTTTACGCAACAGTTAGCGAAAGTTAGCGTAAGATTACGCCGTCCGATTTTACGCAACAGTTATTAGCGCAAACTTGGACGGCGTCATGTCTCTTCGAACGGGGATCTCGCTGGCCACCTCGCTGCGCTGCGTGATCATACCTTTGCGCAGTCCCGCTTGTGCGCTGGACAGGCGCAAGTCGGCTCCTTTTCAAAGGGGCCTCGCCTGGATGGCAAGCCAATCGGGTGCTGGCGTTTCAAGGTGGTGCCTCCTATAGTATTAAGCAACGCTTGTATGTAATAAAGATGACCGGCCTTGGGACGAGATGGTTTATCACAGCATCGCTGATGCGTGTTGGGCTTGCTCTGATCTTCTTCCTCCCAAGGCAGGACCCATCAATACGTGAAGATGTGACCGTGCTTCAAGCCTTGCTGCAACGTCTAGCCAAAGACGGGATGGTCGATGCGAGCGGTAACTCCGCTACTGGAGGCCGAGAACACTTACCAGCAGGAGGGTCAGGACCCTAAGGTGTGCCACACGTTCCTCGTGAGCGCCTACCGCAGTGGGAGGGTGGGTTTTTACACCAAATGCCTGAGGAAGCTAGAAGGCGAGCCGTAAGTAGGAACGACCAACGAGAACACTCAGGAGCGCAGGGCTCATAGTAGCCTGAAGAAGATGCTCCGCTGCAGCAGCAAGCACCGCAGGAGCTTTAGGCCATGGGCTGAGACCGCGTAGGACCATCACTGAGCGCAAACGAGTGAGTTACGCTGGCGCCTCTGTTCTCTAGACCATTTCGGAGTGGGCGCGCACGTAGGAAAGGGGGGCGCGGCAAGGGAAAGGGAAGGCGAGGCCGATGAATCTCCCCCATGGCCTGCCCCGCTGGTCCCGTCGCACACACTGCATTCAGTGTCAAACAAGTTGGGCACCGCGCTCTCGAATCCCATCCCTGCCTCCCGCTGCTGCTGCTGCGATGCGTGCTGGTCCCTCTCGTGGTCCCCCGTCGTTCGTGCCCCGTCGTGCCCGCCTCCTCGCACGCGTGTCGTCCACCGCTCCCTGCCGCCCTCTGCCTGCAGAGGCAGGGTCGGTGAGAGGGTGGGGCCCGAGACGACGCGACGAGCTGGACCCGTGCGGCAGAGCCCCCGCCGCCCGAGCTGCTCCACAGCCAATGCACTCCTCCTCCTTCTCCTCCGCCTTCCCCAAGTCCTCCTCCTACCCCCTCTCCTCCTCCTCCTCCTCCTCCTCCTCCTCCTCCTCCTCCTCCTCCTCCTCCTCCTCCTCCTCCTCCTCCTCCTCCTCCTCCTCCTCCTCCTCCTCCTCCTCCTCTCCTTCTCCTCCTCCTCCTCCTCCTCTCCTCCTCCTCCCTCCTCCTCCTGCTCCTCCTCCTCCTCCTCTCCTCCTCTCCTCCTTCTCCTCCTCCTCCTCCTCCTCCTCCTCCTCCTCCTCCTCCTCCTCCTCCTCCTCCTCCTCCTCCTCCTCCTCCTCCTCCTCCATCCTCCTCCTCCTCCTCCTCCTCCTCCCTCCTCCTCCTCCTTCCTCCTCGTCCTCCTCGTCCTCCTCCTCCTCCTCCTCCTCCTCGTCCTCCTCGTCCTCCTCGTCCTCCTCCCAATATCGTTGGTTTGACGACGCCGAGGCAATCGCAACTCGCAGTGGGGCCAGCGCTCGCCGGTTTCGAACAGCTTTCAAGGACCAGGACCTGCCGGCGCCTCATTGTCCTCACCACTCGAGATTGGCCCCTGGACCTGTCCTAAGACACCTTCTGACAAGAACTCCCAGAAAAAGGCCGACCAAGCCAGACTGCATCCATGCCTCCTTCGTCCCCCCGTCTCTCTCCTTCCCCTCCTCCTCCTCCTCCTCCTCCTCCTCTTCCTCCTCCTCCTCCTCCTCCTCCTCCTCCTCCTCCGCCTTCTGCTGGGCACGCCCAGTGTGGCACCCCTACATGTCAACGCGTGCCCGGTGCACGAAGCCCCAGACCTTGAGCACCACGCCTCGCTCCACGCGCTGGGCCACCGGAGCTCTCCGCCCCGACGCCCGTGCGTCTCCTTCGTGCGCTTGGGCCCTGGACGTCTGCTCCGCGGCCGCTGGGCTCCAGCAGCGCTCTCGAGCGACGGAGGGGCCCTTCCGAGGCGAGTGGATGCTTACCAGCCTGGAACATATCCCTATCCCTATGCTGGGCACCTCCTCATCACGATGCCAATCTTAGGGATCCCCTTATTTTTTGAAGGCGAATCCCTAAGATTGCCATCGCCTTTTGGCGTGTCGATCTCAGGGATAAGGATACGTTCGAGGCTGGTAAGATGCACTAAAGCAAGCGCGGCGGGAGACGGGAGGGGCGCGGGAGGACGGGACCACTCTCAGAACATGCAGTCCTTCGGCGCGAGCGCCGGAGGCGTGCGCAGCGAAGCGGGAGTCTCTGAAGGGAAGGAGCGCGAGGCCAGGGCACCACCGGGCCCTAGACACTGACCAGCAGACTTCCAGAATCCTTGGGATTTCGTACGCGTTGACCTGCCTCGGGGCGTTCTCTTGGGGCGACCAACACGACGCAGATGCCGACGCCGACGCTGACGACGATAACGGCGCTACGACGCAGACGACGACGACGCCGACGACGCCGACGATGATGCCGACGCCTTCCACAGGCTTCCTCCTCCTCTTCCTCCTGCTCCTGCTCCTGCTCCTGCTCCTGCTCCTGCTCCTGCTCCTCCTCCTCCTCCTCATCCTCCTCCTCCTCCTCAGCACTCCTCATCGTCGGTGTCCCTATCCTCCTAGCCTTCTCCTCCTCCTCCTCCTCCTCCTCCTCCTCCTCCTCCTCCTCCGCCTCCTCCTTCTCCACCCCTTGCTTCTGCTCCGCCACTTCGGCCCTCCCCCGACAGGGGGCCAGGCCCGCGGACGGCACGCGACTCTTTCCCTCCATGTCTGGGAGAAGGGGAGGAGAAAGAGGAGGAGGAGGAGGAGGAGGAGGAGGAGGAGGAGGAGGAGGAGGAGGAGGAGGAGCCTCCCCTTACCTCCCTCCGGGTGAGGTGGGGAGGAGGCAGGAAGAGAGGGCGGCACGCGGGGAGGTAGGGAGGGAGAGGAGGGCTGCAGGATTGAGCAGGGGAGGGAGGGGGGGAGGGCGGAGGAGGGAGGGAGGGAGGGAGGAGATGAGGAGGAGGAGGAGGAGGAGGAGGAGGAGGAGGAGGAGGGGGAGGAGGAGGAGGAGGAGGAGCAGCAACAGGAGCAGCAGCAGCCAAGGTAGCGGAATAAGAGGAAGCGGAGAAGGAGAGATAAGGAGGAGGAAGACATCCTCTGATGCTTTGACGTGTGTTTGGCAGCGTTCTGGTAGCCCTGGAATGTCGTGGAGGTTATCCATGAATACTCCCAGGCTCCTCCAGTTTTTCAGAAACCGCCGCTGCCAGGATAGCACCTCATGTCTGAACACGGCGATGATGCAGCGTTGCACTCCCTGGCGGCACAGCATCATCCTGCTACTTTCCTCCTCCGCCTCCTCCCGCAACCTCCTGAAAAAGGCCCCCCGCTTCTTCGGTGTGGGGGGGGGGGGGAGGCGGGGGGCGCATCCCTCCTGCGAAGCGGACCCTCCTAAGAAGCGCTCTCCTGCCCAGCCCCTGCACTCTTGCAGGGCCGCCCCCGTCGACAGAACCCCCTCGCTCGCTGCCAAGCTCCCACAACAACAAAACTAGACGCAATCGTCGCTTGTTGTCGAGAGTTCAGTGTTATCCAATGAATCAAATAATTTAACTAGTTTGCAACACCAAAGAACAATAAAAATGGGTACCCGTGGCATTGCACTTACCCTCTTCACAACAAAATGGAATTCCTAACTGGAACATCGCGGCTGCATAGGAATTCCACCTCCGGAGGTTCCTTCGGGGGGTGAAGAAGAAGAAGACCCTAAAGGAGCCCTTTCCGAAAGGGGCCCTGAAGAGCCCCTTTAGGGTTCTGTTCCTCACCCCACCTAAGTTGCCACCCGCCCGAGATGCTCAAGGCTGAAGGGGCCCCTGGACACACAAATAACTACACACAAATAAGAAGATCTCCCACATGTTTTCCAATATGTTCTGGCTTTCTGTCTTCCCCCCACTTCCCATATTTTCCTGGGGATCGACGATTCATTGTGTCTGTGTGTTTCTTTCCCTCCTGAAAGGCTCCTGCAGGCCTCTGGTGCCGAGGGCGGCATTTTTGACCTCCCGGCCTGGCGCTGCTGCGGCGCCGAGCCCCCGTCACCCCTGGCGGATGCCCGCCGTGGAGGCGGCCACTCGGATGGCGTGCTCCAGCAGGTCGCTCCGCGGGAAGGCCCCTCCAGTGAGCGCGGCGTGCGGATCCTGCCTCGGGGATCTTCTGGCCCGGGTCAATCCAGACCCGGGTCAGCCAGGCCTTGCAGAATCCTGCGGGCTCCCGCAGGATCCTGCACCCAAGCCCGGGCCCATGCGAAGGGGCCTGCAAGATCCCGCAGGACACCCACAATTCGGGTCGATGCGACCCTGGCCGTGCAGGATCCTGCAAGATCCCCTGGCTGACCCCCGTCTGCATGGACCCCCGTCTCTCAAGGCTCCCGACTGCCTGTCGCAGCCCGTCCTCCCGGCGAGCACCTCGCCCAGCGTGCCTCCGCCTCGGGCCGCGGCGGCCCAGGCGCGGACGTCCTCGGCCGGCAGCTGCACGCCGGCCGAGGTGGCCACGGCCTGCGTGCCCGCCGCGATGTCGAGCACGATGACGACGGCCAGGTCTAGGCACGTGCTGCTCTCCAGCTCGCCGGCGACGGCCAGCCCTCCGCCCTGCGCCTGCACGATGCCGTTCTCGACCGCGACGGCCACGTCGGCGTCGGGCACGTCGCCGAGGCGTTGCATGAGCCCCCGGAGGCGGTTCTGTGCGCCGCGCAGCGTCTCGTCGAGGCCGACCGGCTGCTCGGAAACCAATGAGGGCACCTTGAAGCCAACGACGACTCCTCTCGGCGGTGGACCAACCTCCCTTTAGCAAACCACCCTTTAGGGAAGACGGCCTAGGACCGAAACCGGCGGACCTGGACCCGCAAAGATGACGGCCGCGACGCCCTCTCGCGAACCGAAACCCGCCAATTCGCTGATCGACGTGTCGGGGCAGGAGGTCTACCACCCTCCGATCCTCCCAGAGCGCGGCGTGCGGCCTCAGTCTTCTGCGCGGCCGTCGATGCGACGGCGATCCGCCTCCGCTTGGACCTGCGCAGCCGAGAGTACCACACAGGCTGCGGCGGCGGACGCGAGCCGCGACTGCAGCAGAGCTGCCGCTGCTCGCAGGCGGCCTCGCGACATGCTCCATCCTGTGAGCCGGAAGCACGACAGCTTGGCCCGGAGCAGCTACGGACCACCGCTCGTCAGGAGGATGATCGGACCTCAATGGGCGATCGCCCAAAGTACACCCTGCGAAATGCTTAAGAAATCATGGGTTAAGAAATTCATAGTCTCAGATGTTTAATAAAACCCAGAATTTCTATCAAAATCTTAGGAATTCAATTGAAACATTAAGAATAATCGAGACTCTGGCCGAAAATGTAAGTTTTCTTGAGCATCGCCTGAGGTGTATGGCCAGCGCACGCCATCCAGCGACGGCGGCGGCGGCGGCGGCGACACTGGCGACGGCGACGACGCTGGCGGCGACGACGCTGGCGGGCGGGCGCCCCGAGGAGCAGACGGGCAGAGTCGCAGCCCCCTCCGCTATGCCCATCCTCCCCGCCTCCTCCTCCTCCTCCTCCTCCCCCCCTCCTCCTCCCCTCCTCCTCCTCCTCCTCCTCCTCCTCCTCCTCCTCCTCCTCCTCCTCCTCCTCCTCCTCCTCCTCCTCCTCCTCCTCCTCCTCCTCCTCCTCCTCCTCTCCTCCTCCTCCTCCTCCTCCTCCTCCTCCTCCTCCTCCTCCTCCTCCTCCTCCTCCTCCTCCTCCTCCTCCTCCTCCTCCTCCTCCCCTCCTCCCTCCTCCCCTCCTCCTCCTCCTCTCCTCCTCCTCCTCCTCCTCCTCCTCCTCCTCCTCCTCCTCCTCCTCCTCCTCCTCCTCCTCCTCCTCCCCCTCCTCCTCCTCCTCTCCTCCTCTTCCCCCTCCTCCTCCTCCTCCTCCTCCTCCTCCTCCTCTTCCCTTTTCCCCCTCCGCTCCCCCTCCTCCCCGCTCCCCCTCCTCGTGCTCGAGCTGGGGGCCGGCCCCATGGGCATGCCCGGGGCAGCGCTCCGCCCGGGGCTCCGACGCGAGACCCGAGTCGTGGCGGCGAGGGGCCCGCCCAGGCTGCCCCCAGAGGGCGACAGCGGTGGCGAAGGCAAGCGAGCTCCCGCCTCGCACCTCCTCCTCCTCCTCCTCCTCCTCCTCCTCCTCCTCCTCCTCCTCCTCCTCCTCCTCCTCCTCCACCCAAAGCTCGATGCTGCAAGCAACATGGCGGAGGCGTTGGACCCACCACCTGCGCTCCCGGAATGCTCCGCCGCGGCTGCGACGGCGACGACGCTGCTGGCCACGGCGGCGGCGGCGGCGGCGACGCTGACGACGGCGGCGCCGCGCGCGCCGCGGCGCCGCGCCGGGGGCGGAGCCCAGCCGTGGACGCCCTCCGCGGCGCCCGCCGCGGCAGCGGCGCCGGGCGGTGCGGCGGCCAGGGGCGGAGCGGCAGGCAGCAGCGGGGCGGGGACTGGCGGCGCGCAGAGCCACAGGACCCCTTTGCGCCAAGGCGGCGGAACGAGCGAACGACCACCTGGGGTCTCGAGGACCTCTCGGGGGATGGTGGATGTACCGACGATGACGACGACGACGACGATGACGATGAGGATGATGACGGACAACAACCGTCTGGGCCTAACTGGGGCCGTCAAGCTGAGGCCGTGGCGGTGGAGGGTCAGGCCCTGAGGCCGTCGGCTGGCCACGAAGGGGCCGTGGCCGAGCGAGGCCGTGAGGCCGAGGCCGTGGCGGCGGAAGGCTTTTGCGACACTCCTCGGCCCCGGGGGTGGGGAGCCTCTCTGGGTCCTGAGGGCCGTCAACAAAGTGGCTCGGGAGGAAGCGCCCGCCCCCAGGGAGGGGGCACGGGCCTCTGGGGGTCCACGTGGCGAGCTACAGCGCGACGACCTGGGGAACCTCTGTGTGATGTCTGGACGACCTAACTGCTTCTAGTCCAACGCACAAGCTTCCAGCCCAGAAACCAGCGCAGGAGTAACGGTGACGGCAGGGATCCGTGGGGAAGGGGGCCCATCTGAGATCCGGGCGTCGCGAGCTCTTCGCGCGGGGCATGCTCCGGCCCAGCGTCGGGATCCCCCGGCCACTCGAGCCGGTCGGTCTGGCTCGGGGAGTGCCGCGGAAGGCTGAGGTCGAGGGGTGCGGCTGCGATGCTTCACGACGTAACGCTCTGTTCGCGGCGCCAGGTCTCATTGCGGGGCGAGGGCTCGCAGGTTTCTGGGAAGGCTCATCTTGGAAGCTGGGGTGGCTTCCGAGAAGCCCCGCGACGCCCTTAGAAGGAGGGCGCCCCCTCGCCCAATCCCGCTTCTGCGCGCCGCCGATTGGACCAGAGAGCCGAACAACGGCCTAAGCATACGTCTGGCGATCCATGGGTCGACCACATTCGGCCTTCCTACGGTGTGCCCTGGGGCTCCTGGTGGTCCCAGGGGGCCTCCCGGGGAGGGGATATTCCCGTGGAGCACCTGCTGGCAGGCTGGCTTTCTTACCCTCGGCGGTGGACAAACCTCCCTTTAGTAAACCTCCCCTTAGTGAAAACGGCCTGGGACCGAAACCGACGGCACTGGACCCGCAACAAAAACGACGGCTGCGCCGCCCCCTCGCGAACCGAAAACGGCCGATTCCTGAATCGACGTGTCAGGGTAGGAGGTCTGCCCAACCCCGATGCCCGGCTCGCCTCCTGTGAACCTTCGCCGACCCCAGAAGTCCGGGCGGACCTGCGAACACTCAAGGGGCCCTGGGACACACAAATAAATACACACAAATAAACGGATTTCCTGTATTTTCTCATAGTTTCGGGTTTTTGTCTTCCCCCCACCCCCACTTCCCACACAAGGATCGACGATTAACTGTGCCTGTGTGTGTGTGTTTGTCCCTCCTGAAACACGTGCGTCTGTGCCGCTGCTCGGCTCTCCGGGGATCGGGCCGCTCGTGACCCGGCGGTGAAGGCCCCGCAGCACCCGCACGGGCACGTTGCCGCCGTCGGCCTCGATGCCCGCGTTCAGCCGGAGCCACGTGCTCAGGGGCACGGGGCGCTGTCGGAGGGGGCGGCGGGGAGGCAGCCGCGGCGCCACGGCAGCCCAGAGACTGGACGAGCCAACAACACACACCCATGCCCATAGAGGGGTCGGAGAGGGCCATGGGTGCGTGTTGTCGGAGGTGGGTCCCCGCTCGAGCGGGAGCGTTCCCCAGGGTCCGACAACCCGCACCCATACCCACAGCCGGTCCTCCTCCCAACGGCCCCCCTATTGGCCCCCTATGGGTATGGGTGTGTGTTGCTCGTTCGCCAAAAGAGAGGAGGCCGGAAAAAGCACGCAGAGGGGGGCGTGGCGGGGTGGGCGTTCCGAGAACGCCCCTGCCCCTTCCAGGAAGGCGTGGGGGGGGCTCTCTGAGGGGGGCCCTGCCCATCCCAGGATGGGACGCACATGGACATACTAGTACTATATGTCCTCCTTGGAGGCGCGCGTCCGACCCGAACATATAGTATACCCATATTGTAGTATATCGTTTCCCGAGCGGTGTGGCCAGAAAGCGCCCGCCACGACGCATATCCTATAAGAATTCTCGGTGCGCGCGTCGCCCCTGGGGGGGGCGACGCACATATAGTATAAGTATGTTGGGGTGTTGCCGACAGGAGGCGCCTACAGAGGCTTACCAGAAGTTTCAAGAGCGTGTGAGAGGCGAGGTGCAGCTAGGTACGGAAGCCCCCTCGCGCCCTCTCGGCAGCCCGACTGAGAGAGGGGAAGAGCATCGCGCCAGAGACCCCCCCCTGTCGTGCATCTCCGATGCCGATATGCGCTGGCGGTTCACGAGCAGAGGCCCGACGCAATCCATGCATTCCCAGACGTATTGCTGCCCATGCCTCGCCATCTACCTCTGTGTGGATTCCGACCATTTGCCACCATCGCATTGGAACATACACATGCGTAGATACATACATGCTCAAACGCACGATCACTCCACCTCGAATCATCTTTATGGCCATCGCCCGCTTCGAGAGAAGGACGAAGATGAAATTTATAAAGTCACGCTTCCCATCTGTATTGGACTTCTTCTGGTTCCCCGCTCCTGCTGACAAGCCAACTTCCTATTTGATGTGCGTACCGTAACGACCAGCATGGGTGAGGAAAAAAAACGGAAAGGCCACGGCCCCTTAGAGCCACCACTGGCGAGGATAGGGGAACCTTCCCTCTTCCAAACCCATGTATGACGTTCTAAGCCGTGTAGCGCACGGCGGGGCGCCAAACTTCCAAAGAGCAAGCTTCAAGCTTCAGGCTCGAGCCTGAGCTTGAGCTTGAGATCCTGTTGCTTCTGCACTGCATGTATTTTGCGCTGTAGCTTCGCTGCTAGAGCTTGAGCTTAAAATTTCGCTCGCAAGCCGAACCTGGTTTGGGCAGGCCCAGGGAAGTGCGTAGCGCGCAGTGTCGACCACGACCGCGACAGACAGTTAGTTGTTGTTTCGTTGCGGTTGTCTTTGTTTTGCAGGTTGTCGGCGTTGCACTTCTGGTGCGATGTAGTTTCGCTGCTGGAGCTTGGGCTTAGGATTCCGCGTGCGAGCAGAAGGTGGTTTGGGGAGGTCCGCGGAAGTGCGAAGCGCGCGGTGTCAACCACTGTCACGACGACACAACACCTGTCTGTTTTGCATTGCAGTTTGTTTATAGCATTGCAGCTTCTGCTGCATTGCATGCTTTGCTGCGCTGTAGTTTCGCCGCTATAGCTTGAGCTTAGGATTTCGCGTGCGAGCCGGACGTGGTTCGAGAAGGTCCAGGGAGGTGAGAAACGCGCAGTGCCCACCACGGCCACGACGACGACACAAGACCATTCGTTTTGCATTGAGAGGGTGTTCTGCACTGCAGTTGTTTCTGCATTGGATGTTTTCTGCGCTGTGGTTTCGCTGCCGGAAGTCGGCCTACGCATGCGAGCCGAACGTGAATCGAGGAGGCCCAGGGAGGCGCGAAGCGCTCAGCGTCAACCACCACGAGCCCCTAAGAGGGGCCCAGGAGCCCCGTGAGAGAGGCCCCACAAAAAAACGATCCCGAGCGACCTGCCGCGGCCCCTCGCTCGCGAACGCTCTCGGTGGCCCCTGGAGCCGCCCAGAGACGCTCCAGAGAGGCCTTCGGCAAGCTGTCAGGAGAGCTCCAGAGTCCACCAAAAGGCCAGAAGAGAAGAGACCCCCAGGAGCTCTCCACGAGGCCCCCTCGCCAATCCACGAGCGAGATGCAGCGGCATCTCGCTCACGGGCACTTCTTCAGCGCCTCCCGAAAAGGTTCCCCAAAAGCTCCCGCAAGCTGCTGAACCGGGGGGCCCACGAGGCCATCAAAAAGCTCCCAAGATGTCCCCAGAAGGCTCCGAGGGGGTCCCAAGAGACCACCAAAAAGCTCCCAAGAGACCTCCAAAAATCTTCTGACTGGTCGCGAAGTTCATGTGGTGGGTCTTGTCCAGTCTGGTTGGATCATTGCTTTTCGCTGGAGGTCGATTGGTTACTGTATTTCTCTGGCTTTCCTGGGCCTGCCTTCCGCGAAGGACCTGGACGAGAACGAGGAGCAGCAGCAGGAGCAGCAGCAAGAGCAACGTCAGCGCGCGGAGGGAGAGAGATCCGAGGAGCATCGGGTGGAGGAGTGAGCGAGAGTTTGCTTCAGCAGCCGTGTTATCAGCTCTCGAGCCCCGAACCAAGAAGTTCGGCGCTGGGGACGAAGAGCTTGCCGCTTCCAGCGGCTTAGAATGCGCATCCCCTCCTCGTGGGCCCCTTCCGTCCTGTCCTCCCTCTCCTCCCTCCATGCCTCTCCTCTCTTTCTCTCTTTCCCTCTCTCACTCCGCCCCTCCCTCTCCCGCGCCCTCACCCCCGCCTCCCTGTCCCGCCCCCTCCCGGAGTCCTCCCCCGCGCGGGCAGGGCGGCCAGAGGTCGAGACCATGAGGAGGTCCTGAAAACCCGCAGAAGAAAGCTCACAAACCACTCGGCACTGCGCCGTCCTCATCATCTTAGCGATGTGGATGCCATGACAACGGACACTCTAACAATCCGACCATTGAATCGAAGATGTGTTTAATATGTGTAAAAGTATGTTTCAAGCATGTTTGTAACATATTGAAAACATGTTTGAAACAGATGTTAGACATCTGGAAATTGTTTGGCAGCATGCGCCCTCTCCATTGATCGACTTCCACAACCTTAGCGAGGGAGGGGGGGGGGAGCGGGCCTGCGCCCGGCAGAGCATGACGGCGGAAAACATGAGCTGGCAGAGCGCCGCCCTGCTGCGCAGCTGCTCGAAGAGCTCCGCGCCCGCCAGCTCCTCCTGAGGCTCTGCCGCCCGTGGCACGGTCTTGGAGGCAAGGTGGTCCTGGAAGCCCGGAGGTGCTTCGCCGCCTGCGTGGCCCCGGGGGCACCCCACGGGCCCCGGGAGATCGAAAAGCACGACCCTGAGATGAACGCCGTGGCGTCTAGGACTCGCTTCCCTCGGGACCCCTCGCCTTCTTGACGGACCCCTGACGGGCTAAGGTAGATGGCTTCGAACGATGTCGCCGCATCATCGGTGCGTCGGCGATGTACCGGAAC